TGAACAGTCGTTTAGGCTCAATTCCAGGATATGTATTTTTGTGCATGATTAAACGGCAGCTCATGGACAACATCTCCGAGTTTACTGTGTGTAAATGGATGTGATGTGGAAGAAACTTTTGTTATCACGGAGCATAACCCCCTTTTGAATCCCTTTGAAGTCCTTTTAAAGTTTGGCCATACACAAATTTCTATACCACAAAGAACATAAACGTCCTAATGGAGCATTGATACACAGATGGTGAGGTGCTTATTTTTACCGAAAAGGAACATACAGTTCTTCAAATTTTACCCGAAGATTACGAACATTTAACTGTGCGAACATTTTTTCAACAGGTGAGAACTCTTCGTTTGTCAAATGTACAACAAAATCAATAAAGATTTCTGAGGAACTCATTACTGGACATTGGTAAACCAGATCAGCTCCTAGCCATCCATATTCGACGCTCTCAAACATTTATACTAGTTCAAAACGTTACTGAAGGAGATGTAAACACCAAACTGGCTTTATAAGGTGATCAAGTTCTAATTTGTGCGCAGAAAGTTGAGATCAACTGGATAATGTGCAGGTCGCTGAACTGATCTACACAAACTTGAACCTGGTGGGTGAAATAGTTCTGTATCACACCTGCCAATACGGTAACGCATAGGTTGATAGAACAAACTATAGCCTTTCAAATGACCGTTAACCTAACATTTACATCAATTTTAGCAATCCCCTTCTAAGTCCGTCGGGTAGGATTTTCGAACACAATAAAATCCAGAACTTTTGGTTTTTATTCTTTCAGAAATAAAGGAAAAAGGAGTCAAATGTTAATATATCTCGATACATTTTCGACTTTGGACCTGTCATAGAAATATAGCGTTACCTTTAAAACAGCCGTTTCATATGAAAGCAAAATGTTCTTCATCGGTTGTCACAGTTTTAACAAAACTGAAACTTTCGCAATTTCAAACGTTGAGGACTCTCGGTGGGTTCCTAAAGGACTAGAAATCGAAAAGACTCACCTGAATCATTTGTATTTCTGAGTTGATGGCGTCTAACTGGGTTTGAAGCATGAAGGCCAAGGATTGTGCATCACTCGTTCCTGTGGCCTCAAATGGAGTTAATGGTTGAATCGACTCTTCCATCGATTTTTCAATAAATTGGGCTAATTGGCTCAATGGTTGGTTGGTACCATCCGGACCAGGAGGGACTTTATCGTCCGTAACTTGATAGCCCACTTGTGAGAGGAAGAAATTGTTCAACTCCTGGGCTACTTGTTGATCTACCGTTTCCAATCCCGTGCTAGGAGCGGCATAATTAAGACCAGGTGTTGTGTACACAGTAACAGGTTTTTCCGTCTGAAATGA